GAGGGAGGGAGGGAGCTCTCCAGAGAGCTCTCCAGTCCATATTTTGAGACTTGTGTGTTAATGGAAGCTGAGCAAACTGGAAATCCTGGGTCTTGATTTGCTCAATGGAGAGACTGAAACAAGGGGGACTCCATACTGGGTCATCAGCAGTACAGAGACAATCGTGCACAATTAAAATGATGCGTCCACACCCCACCCCTGTCTCACACTCGTCTGGTAACGACGAACAAGGTAACTTTTCTGCCTCAGCCTCTTCGCCCGTAAGCTGGATGGACTGAGTGTGCTGGGCTACTTTAACAGCAAACATCTGAGGCATTAGCTAAAGCTCTCATCACAGGACTTCCAGGAACTGTCAGCCAGCTGTTACTCTCATGACTAATAGAGGAAGTGAAAAACCCTCCACAACTAGGAATTTCCTGCAAGGCTTAAACAGCATAGGAGTGTGTGTGGACCTTTTGTTAGCCATTTCAGAGAAAGAGTTCATGGCCCAAAGTTACCATCGGACGCCAAGAAACACAAGGCGAAGTGAGGTAAGGAACGATTCGCATCCTGGAGCAGGATACACTCCCATTGCTCGGCCGTCCACCTGCAGTACCACCACCCGCTTAGTGGTCATTTAAGGTTCTCCTGGGAAAAGAAACAGGCTGCAGGTCCTCCCACCCTTCACCCTTCTCATAAATCAGTACTGTAACCTTTCTCCTCTATAGACAACTGGGAAAGGTAGCAGACACCATGCTTCAGAATGACTCTTCGGGGCCTGGGCTTGTAGCTCAGGTGGTAGAGTGTTTACGCAGCACCCAGAAAGCCCTGGCTTCTATCTTCAGGCCTGGAAAATCAGGTGTGATGTCATATACCTACAAACCCAGCACTTGGGAGAAAGGGACAGGAAAGATCAGAAGTATAGCTCTAACGTATGACTGTATTGAATTCCCCCTGAAGCTGTGGCTTGTGACAGAGTACTTCCTAAGGACTCACAAGACCTTGGCTTCTATCTCTAGCTACATAGCAAGCTCCAGGCCAGCTTAAGTTACGTGAGACCCTTTTCAACACCCATCCCCCACCAAATAAACAAACAAACATGCTACCCAAAACAAAACGCAAACAGTCATGCTTGATCTGAAGATTTCTGTAGAGCGTTGAGAACACTTTAAAGCACAACCTAATCTAGTTGGGTCGGAAGGGAGATTTACACAGGCTGCGGTGGTTTTAAACTTCCCAAGTTCCTCTAACAAAGATTCAAAAGGTTTTCCGCCTCCCATTTTCAAATCAAAAGAAAGAACAGGTAGGAAACACACAAAGGCCTACATAAATCCTGCTCATAGCCAAGCTTGCAAGTCAACAGCCACACTGGGAATTACCCTGGAAGCAAATCAAATCCTGTCTGACTGAAGCATTTCTCAGTCTTGGCTACTCAATTATTTAGTGTCTTTGGTGAAGTTCCACACAATTAAAGGCAGCTCGTCGGCTCTGTGCATAGCACCAGGTTCACACATACACGGGAGTGGGGTTGGAAGAGAAGACATTTCTCTGAAACCTGTCTAACAAAGGATCCACCCACCCGCTGCTATGTGAAGTGCATATGAAGTCGGGTATAATCGAGTTCTTGAACTTACTTTTTAAAAAATTACAAAACAAGGGCACTTTAGCCTTGTTCAAGGCAAAGATATATGAGCCACTCAAAAAAAAAGAAAGAAAAAAAAAGAAGTTTCCAGAGACCGAAAAAGGAACATAAAAACCCTTAACCCTATCACACAGTTTGAGTGAACAGTTACAGCCTTTGAAAGCATCTTGTCTATTAAATTGACGATCCCTATCCTCCAAAGTGCTTTCCAAAGCCAGTAAGAAATGTGACACTACCTCTCCACCCTGAGTGAAGGGAACACACTAGGTATCTGCTACAAAGACACTCTTCCTAGGACAACGGAGGCATGTGGTATTGATTCCTACGGTCTCTGTCTCATTCTTACTCTGGTTTAGAAAGAGTGAGCAAACAGCATCATATCAATTTCAACAAAGACTACCTGAGTCCTATCATTCTCATTGACTATTGGCCTGCTGACCTGCCCCTCGTCCTCCTTCATCCTGGGATCCCTGCTGCTTTGTGACATGTACTGGTCTGGGCGCTGGTTACACACTGCCTGAGAAGACATTTAAACAGGTGATGACTGCTCTGACTCACGCCTCATACGCATACCTAAGTCACTTTGGTTTCCTGTCTGTTTCCATTCTTATCATTTTCCGCTTGAACCCTTATATCTGTGCCGGGAGACCTCGCATTTCATCTATGTCTGTAGATTCGGTCTATGCCACTTTCCCTCTGGGTACCTGAGTCTGCTTTCTGAAGTCAGTCTATCCCACATTTCCCTTAATACAACCTCCCGAAGACACCCCTTTCATTTAATTGTCCCCAGGAATACACAAGAGTGGCTTACATTGTCCCACAGGAAATCTAAATTGCTGCCTAGCTTCCCACGTCTCTGTCAGTACGACCTTAGTCTGTCCCCATCACCCACCCACCCCACCCTCCGTGTTTAGATTATGCCCTACCTTACCATTTTAGATGGATTCTTCTTTCCTGCACTCACAATAGCATGCACTCCTCGCCCTTCTTGGTGTATTTCCAAATTCCAATATACTTATATCTAAATTCTTCCATGTGCTATCAAGCTGTATTCATCCTTTACCTTATACTTGATTTTTAACAAGAAGTGCTTATTTTCCAGATTGGACACAAGTGTATTAGAAGACCTCAGAATAACAACTCTAGGACTTAAAAACTCACAGCTCTACCAGACAATCTACCCCTGTTTGGAGCTGGGGCAAATCTTTTAGGCTCTGTGAGCCACACAGAGTCTCCTATGACTCCATAACATACAGGACCCTGTGGCACTGTGAAGGAGGCAGCCACAGTACTGAAACAAGGAGATGCTTCAGTTTTAAACAATAATTTACAGAAACAGATGGCGAGCAGACATTGACTCTCTAGCATGGTTGACTGATTCCGTCTGAGAGGAAGAAGAGTAGATTGGGTTTGGGACTTGCTTCTCCACTTAGCAGAAGACAAAAATAAAACGCCAAAGGACAACCAGAAGTCTCTCAGACCCATCTCTGTCTTCCTTGGGTAGCTGAACTTGTTCTTTCATGACACTATGTGTCCCAGACCCCCCAGGGACAATGTCATCATCACGGCAATCTGGGCTATGATCATCTGTTACAACCATTTCGATCAATGAAGAGGAGATAATAATCTGCTACCTTTGTTGGCGACTTGGTAGGGAAAGAGCAAGCTGCCTCAATCTTCTGCCACCCTTCAGGTTGGCAAGAGGCTCCCTCACTAAGATCTCAGGGCAGAAGAGCGCATCACTTATCCTCACTTCAGCGTGCGAGGCGAGGCGGTGCTTTCTCGCACCAACCCTGGTTCATGTAACTCCATCATCCTGCCCTTTATTCAGACAGAAAGAATAAGGCCTTAGCTAACGCTGGTCAGCTCTAGACCATGGTCTTGGTGCTTGTATGGGTGTGTTTGGGGAACAATGGTACCCTAGGTCAGAAGTTCTTATTTCACTCTGAATGTGATAAAAATATATCCTTGCTCTATGTGGGTTGTATAAGTGTAGATCCAACCATTCCCAGATGGAAAATATATTTTAAAAAGTCGATGTAGTGAAAATACCCAGATTCTTTTCTTGTCATAATCTCTTAAATGATATACCAACCACGCACATAGCATTTACTTTGGGTTGAGTATTTTAAGTAGTCTACAAGGGCTTGAAATATAAAGGGAAGCTATGTATAGTCGAAATGCAAACACTACACCATTTATATGAGGGACGTGAATAGTCTCAGATTTTGGACACCCGTAGAGAATCCTGGAGCTAATTAATCACTTATGAATACTGAGGGGCACCTGTCAAGAAATTATCTCATCTCGCTTAGGCTTCACAATGACTCTTCAAAGATGATACCCTCTTTATCCACGAAAAAAATAGGCTCTTGGGTTAGTCTACCCATCTCGTTCATTCAGAAACTCATGAATTGGAATTCACACTCAAGCCAGCATGTAACTCACTAAGTTACATTATCTTGTACCCATCACATTCCTTGATGTTCTAAAAACGTGTGTGTGTGTGTGTGTGTGTGTGTTATGTATAACTGTTATGTGAGTCAAGGATGAAGTCAGGTTCACCACCTGAGGACTGCCTCGGAAAGGTGGAGACAAAGTCAAGTCACACAGTTGATCTGAGCACTGGTCCTATGTGGCTATGGACTCTTGTCCTTCACTGTGAGCCCAGGTCCCTGGCTGCATTTGTGCTGGCGATTTTATATGGCGATGTGGTGAAGCGCGTTCTTACCAGCCTGTCATATTAAAGTCCCGGTACAGCATCTTCTTCCCGAGTTCTTTCCTCTGTACTCTCCTTGGAAACTCCAAATGTGTGAATTCATTTCCCAGCAAGTGAGGCTGCATGAACGCCTAATTGCAGAAAGAAAAAAAAAAAAAGAGAGAAGAAAAGAAAAAGCCACAGGCAGATTTTAGAAGACAAAATAAAACTCGAGTATGTTTTGCAAATTGAGACAAGCCTCACTTCAAAAACAGGAAAATCGCCTTCTATTTTGAAGGAAGTAAACACACTTCAGTATTTAATCAGTAACAGAGGATGAGCAAATAGAAACCCTGCCCGTGACTTACCAGGGCTGCCGCAGTTGCACTTGATAAGTTAATTGTAATCAAAGGGGGGGCATTTGATACATTAATTGTAATCAAAGGGGCGCATAGCTGATGGCTTAGGGACGAGAATGGGCTTCTTCAAAGTTCAGATTGCAGTTCAGATTCAAGATGGTTTTACTTTCTGGAATGCATGTTGGCTAGACTAAAGGCCAGCAAGGTCACCCTGACTCCTCCTCAGCCCTCTCTACTCTCTGCTAGCTTAACAGAACTGCCCATGGAATTGCCTTTGAAAACTGCAAGAGAGTCTCCAGAACACACAAGAGTCAGATCCCTCACAGTGGGACTAGACACACAGACAGGAGTCTTCTGCTGGGCCCACTCCTCTTTCAGTTTGCTCTGTAGTTGTTTTTTTTTTTTTTTTCCCTTGACTATTCCTCCTTCCTCCCCATAATTGATGGCTTCTCCTACCCCCTCCCTGAAAATCTCTGTTCCCATTACAGAAGTCTCCAGCACACACAGCCATACCCAGAGTTGTTTTGAAAGACCAGTCTCCCTGTTACAGTTAAAATGCAAACCTAGCTATCCAAGAGATGGACTGGTCACAGTTCAACTTCCTTGCTGAAGCCACAGACCCTCATACCTGTGTTAGAACTTTCACATACCATGCCCAACTGTTGCATGAAAGATTGGCTCCCCTTACGGAGACAAGAGTAGACAGGGCACGTCATAACCAGTCACTATAGGAGGCAATGGATCCCTGTTGTAGAACACCTCCTCAGTTAACTGGAACAAACTGAGTGTATCTTTTATCTGAAGTGCTTAGGGCAGGAAGTATTTGAGGAGGGGGTGGAGGACACAACTGGAATATTTCCAGACATGTGATGTAAAACCTTAGGGATAGGACCCCAAGTTTATATGAAATTCATTCATGTTTCAGAAACACCTTATACATACAGCCTGAAGGCAATTTCATACAGTACTTTCAGTGTGTGTTTTGATGACAACTTGTCGTAGGAGGTCAAATGAGGAATTTTCCACTTATTGCATTATGTCAAAACTGAAAAAAATTTTAGTTTTGGGAGCATTTCAAATTTTGGGTTTTGGGATTAGGGATGATCAGCCTGCAACAGGGACTTCCCACAGCCTCTTTCCCGAAGCCTCAGATCTCTACTGATGCTCACGATCTGGAAGTGCTAGATGGTCCTAGGCACCAGATGCTCTTGTTCTCAGGACTGAAGGAAGCAAGCTGAATTGTCACCAGCCTGGGCATCTCCCATGCAGGGGTTCCAGGCAGAGCAAGGAGGATGGTAAGACACGGGGAGGACGACTGAGGGTATAGAGATTTTGTCTTCCTGTCCAGTAGGACTCCAAATGGCTCCAGATCTGGTAGGAGCCATGCCCATTTTGAGGGGTTCTGATAGGTAATAAGGAAGTTTAAATATCAGGTTACACGGAAATAAGCTTCCTGGGAAGAAAGAAAGCTAACACATAACGGAGCAGGTTGCTGCTAAAAGCCAGTGAGCTCTGCATCGTTAATTTTTTGATCTTAATGAGTTCTTTAATCTCTTGAGCTTTGGTTTCATTGTCTTTAAAATGACATTATTACTGACATTTTCATAATTAGAGATCTTAAATGCGCTTATCATGGTTGTCTTTGCTCATGGAAAACAACGAGGGCTGGAGAGATGACTGCGTAAGTGAAGGACTGGCTGCACTGGCATGAAACCTCTAGTTCGAGTTTCCAAACCCGTGTAAAGCCGGTCATGGTACTGTGTGTTTGCCCTGCTAGCTCTTCACCGTGAGATGGGAGGCCAAGAGACAGGAGAATCCTTGGAAGCTCTGAGCCTAGCTAGATACACTGGTGAGCAAGAGACCGTGCCTCAGACAGGGTAGAAGGTAAGAACGGACATCTGACTTCTGATCGCTACACATTCACTATGGTATGCCCTCCCCCATGCTCACCCCCTCCCCCCCACCCTGAGAGAGGAGAGAGGAGAGAGAGAGGAGAAGAGAGACAAAGGACTAATTCTATTTAATGATTATTAATGCCCAGTGCTTTCTCTTATTACCACAACCTTCCAAAAATCTTAGGGCAGGAGGCATCACTACTTAATTTGCTGGCCCCAGAACCAATGTGAGGACATAGAAAATTTCAACACAGGGACAGCAGTGCATAAAACTAAAGGCAAGGCCATGTGTGACTATGCCAGGGATGTGCACAGGCAGCAGCCACACCCAAAGGGTAGTTAGGATTTTGTTTCTCCTTAGCATTGATCCACTGGTGCTGGGAGGTGGTGGTGTGCACCTTTAATCCCAGCACTCGGTGGCAGAGGAGGCAGATCTCTGAGTTTGAGGTTAGCCTGGTCTATAGAGTGAGTTCTAGGACAGCCAGGACTACACAGAGAAACCGTGTCTTAAAAACAAAACAATACGAAACCAAAACAAAAATCCACCCCAAGCCAACAATATACAAGTACTTCACCTTCTGTATCTCACTCAATCATTCCACAAAGCCCGTGATATGAACGCAACCTAAAAAACGAGGAAATGGGGCAGGAGACATGGCCCAGCAGTTAAAAGCCCTTGCTGCTCTTGTACAAGGACCTGGGTTTGGTTTCCAGCACCTAAAAGGGACTCACAATCACTCATACCTCCAATTCCAGGGAAGTGGATGCCCTTTTCTGACCTTTGCATGTACCATGCATCATACATGCATGCAGTTTGTAATCCTACATGCGGGCAGAACACTCATACCCAGAAAATAAAATAAATGAATCTTTTAAAAAGTTTACTTCCAAATATTTAAAAACCAATCAAAACCAACAAACAACAAACCAAACTAAACCAAAAAAACCCAAAGAAACAGGCCTAGAAAGGTTAAGGCACCAAATCCAAATTTATTATGGGCTATGGGTTCTGAGGAAATGGTGATGGGCAGCTATGATCTGAGAGTGTCCCATAAAGAACCGTGACTGAAGACCCGGTCACCAGCCTGTGGCACTAGAGGGAGGTGGTGGGGCTTGCCAGATACAGCAGGATGTGCCTGTCAACCTCAGAAGGTTGAGGTTCAGGGCTAGCCTGGACTAAACACCTGACGGTCTCTAAACCCCCCCTTCCCCAAAGATTTTTTTTTTAAATTTCAAAAAAGAGGTGGGGCCTACTGGAAGCAAATTCTACAACCAAGGGGCCAAGGGAGTGCCCTTAAAGAGGCACCCTCTTATCTGTTTGCTTCCTGGCTTCCGGAGGGGAGCAGATTTCTCTACAGCCATGTTCTGCCTCACACAGACTCCAGAGTAACAGCCCAAGCAACCTGTGAGCCTAAGCTTCCAAAACTGTGAGTCAAAAGAAAACATTTTTCTCCTGTTAAGTTGGCGTAGCTCAGATATTTATCACAGTGCTAAGAAGCTGGGGTGGGCCGGAAGGGCTGCTCCTCATG